TAGGACTTATTCTTATCAATATACTAGATACATCTTCTTTTAGAAGTTGAAGGCATAAATCCATACCATTTATTATGCTTTTTTAAATCAAACCATTAGAAGATATAATTTGATAGTCCTTTTATTATACCCAAAAATCTGGGTGCTTATGCATTACTCTGTATTCTGTGATTATTTACCCATCACAGTAAACTTATATAATGATTTTTCACAGGTTTTTCTAGGGCACGGTCAATGTGGGTTACTTTGCACCGCTTTTTGGATCTTTTGTGATAATCTAAGTTATTTTAGCCACTTATAGGTGTTAAAAAAGTCTGAAATTTATAACTCAGCTTTCTTAGAGTTTAAGCAAAAGAAAAATCCTTTAATATAAACTATGTTGGTATTTTAGTGATTTATTTATGTTTAGTTAAAAAGTGGGGCAAAGTGTATGGGTTGGTTGGATTATAGATTTTCCTAGAAGACAGATTTTCCACCACTTTCTAAAACTCTGAGAATAGATAGCTAGCGTAATTTAAATCTATCTTCATCAAAGAGAAGAACTACTAAAAACATAAAATGTTTTGAATTACCATTGTATATTATATTGTATACCATTGTATTACCTATTAAATACTATAATATTGAAAAGAAGTTCAAATAAGAAATAAATAAAGAACAAAAACCATAACCATATCTGGCCAAAAAACTACATTAATAAAAATTAAACAATATATACAACATCTTCAATGAGAATATATAAAAAAGAAAAAGCAAAACAATTTTGAAAAACAAAACAAAACAATTGAAATGAAAAGTAAAACAGGAATCAGGAAAAATCAAAACAGAATGCTATAAACATAATGATTTGATTCTTAAAACTGAAACTTAAACAATAATTCACTTCAATCGAAATTCGATTCATAGAGAATTTATTTAATGATTGTAGAGCATAATTTTGGGATGTGAATAGAAATTGGTAAAAAAGGTATTTGAATGAGGACAAGAAAGAGGCATGGCGGATTTAGGATCTATCAAGGAATTCCAGAAGGCAGTAGATCGAGTAATAAAGGAATGTTCAAATGTTTTAGTTCTATGGGAAGGTATATAAAGATCGGAAACACGAGATCTTGTTTTCTGGGAGTGGACTATGGGTTTGAAATACAGGAGACTGTAGATGTAGGAAGTGTGCCAAGAGATGATCGTTTGGAATAGATAAGATCCAAGGAAATATTGTCGGTGGAAAGAAAGGAAACGCCACTTTAACTCGTCGTAAAGGTGACACATGAGACCGCCACGATGTACCGAAGACGAATCTTAAGAAGGAGTTCAAGGAGTCGTTTCAATTTGTCCTCGAGTTCGATCGGAATGCCACCGTACACCACTCAGCCATAGTCAAAGTGGAGGAAAATAAGAATATAAGGAGTTTACAGATAGGTTGTGGAATTAGATGTCGGCTGCGATGAAATAACTTAAGGGTACCTACTAACTTTCGGGAGATGAGGATGATATGGGGTTTCCAGGAGAGGTTTTCGTCAATGGCGATTCCTAGGTTTTTAACTGAGGAGCTGAATGTGATGGGATGGTGATTGCTGACTAAAGAAGGAAAAAAAAGTTGAATTTAAGGAGAAAACTGGAACTTATAACAATGGGCTTAGGTTTCATCGCGTTTAACCTTAAATTATTGAAGCTTGCCAAGGTACTGATCCTGTCAAGGTCTGCCTGAATATTGAATATTTCCCCGAGGCTCCGACCTCGAGGGGAGATCGTGGGGGGGGGGCGCCGAATTATCTTCAGGGGCGCTTGCCACTTTTTAGAAATTAAAATAATTTATTTTAGTCTATCAATAAAGCAACTGTATTGCATAAATGTTGAATGAAATAAAATTCAATTATTATATAATAAAAAAAGGCTTAAGAAATAAATTTAATTTCTCAGGAGGGAGATATTGCCCGAGAACGCCGAATGTCAAGTTACGGAGTACCCTAAACCTTGATAGTCATCTACTGGTCTTGTTTGTCTGAAGCGCCTACGGACTGCCTCACGTCTCTTTTGCATGTCACGAATTTCTCGATACCTGCAAGGAGTTGGTTAGCGATGGAAGGTAGAGGTTCATATGTGTCAAGGATACGAATGATTAGAAGTGAAGATGCCATATGATCGATACATTAGAGGTGCAGGAGTAGTAGATTTCACTCCAATTTAGGATTTCAAGGTCAGGTAGTTTTTTGTCTCGAGTGAGGGTGTCAAGGTAGCGGGGAAGTTATTGTTAGGAAGAAACGCAGGAGTTTGGATATTGTATGATGATAATCGGATGAGATCATGAGAGGATAGGAAAGGAACGGGTAACTGAGTAATATATAAACCGTATATATATGTATATATATATATATATATATATATATATATATATATATATATATATATATATGTATACGGTATATATATTACTCAGTTACCCGTTCCTTTCCTATCCTCTCATGATCTCATCCGATTATCCGATATATATATATATATATATATATATATATATATATGAACCTCTATATATATCCAGAGCCGTTTTGCCACTGCTGCTGTTGAATCAATGAAATCACTTTGAATAACATTTAATATGAATGTTAATGTTTACATTTAATTAATAAAGTAGTTAGAACAAATAATAGGTTTTATTTATTTCATATAACATAAATAATTCATAAAAACGAAAATCTTTAGGTATGAATATCTTCTAAGCAAAGCGTTTGCGGACATACCTTCAGAGAAATTTGTTTTCTTGTTTTGAGGTTCTTAGTTCAGTTTAGCAACTTATTCATAAATGGGTTATAGACCCATGTAACTAATATAATAAACAATTAAATATTCGGAAATTATTTAATATACTGAAAATGTAGATAAATGATTTGTAAATGCTACCTAAGTAAAATACTGAGGTTATATATGTAAGCTATCTATTATCTTATGTGTACTATATTATTGTTATATTTAATGTAAAAAAAAAATGGCCATTTACAAACTATATGGAGTTGATATAAAAAGTATTAATTAATAAAAATAATATATATTGCTTTAGCCAGTAATATCATTTATTTTTATTTTTGATCATCAATATGGTCAACTACAAAATAATTAAATTTTATTTTTATTTTTTAATGTTCTAAGAAACTATATGAGTGACTTGATATCAAAGACGGACATCTGTCCATTTTCAGAAAGTGGATAAAAATCAATTTTCGCTTTCACTTACATATATAAATGTAATACAAAGAAAGGGGAAGTATTGCGATGGTGAAAATTATCGAATACGAGTTTTCAACGGAAATACATGTTTTGAAATCCCCTGAGTCCAAATAACCAAGTTTCGCAAAATGGTCACTAGTGTTGCTCAAAATCGGTCTTGGTCTTGCACTTTGCAAGACTAAGACTAAGACCGCCTCACTGTTGCAAGACCAAGACCAAGACTGGTAAAAAAAATCGATTTTTTGAATAAAAATTAAGTCAAAATAGTCACTAATGCTTGACGATTTTAGATACTATATGTAAAGAATTGGTATAACCACTATACTTTTGCATTTAACTTTTATACTTTTTCATTCGGGCTTACTTAGGTTTTCCCTATATAAAAAAAAATACAGTAATATCTCTGTAGTACTAAGTTAATAGGTAACTGCAAGACCGTTGCGAGACTCTTGCGCAAGACCAAGACTCGTCTCGGTCTGGCATTTGGGCAATACTAATGGTCACACATTGTGTGTGTGTGTAGGTTAACAGTCTAGCTCAAAAACGAAAAGTCGTACTAAGTGAAATTGCATATTTAAGGTTTGTATAAGCCTGGGATGTTAAAGCAACCTTTTCCTTTCAAATCGGCTGACCGGAAGTGGCACTTCATATTATCGATTTAATATATTTTTACGATTTTCTCGAAAACGGCTCTAACGATTTTTATTAAATTCATTGTATCAGTGTTATTATAAAATTAAGTACTTTTTAATATAATGTAGGTCTTATTATATTAGTATTATTATATATATTATAGTATTATATTACATTTTTAACAGATCTTAAATGTCTAATTAAAAAAAATAAATCTCTAAAGTAAATTTAATTGTTTTCATTCGGAATAATTAACCATTTCATATTGCAACCTGCTATAAAAAATATCTAAATATAAAATATGAAAGAATTTGATAATTAACTAAAGAAGGAATAAGCCGATAGCTCTCTACTTTTCCGATTTTCTCCCTTTACAGATTCCCGATACCCCTCTTTACAGAGCTTTCATAATGTTAGTTTAACTTTTATATATCACTCATCCATAACTTTCTAGAAAGATTTACACGCGAACTCTTGAGAATCTACTAATATAAATCTAATAATATACTAACGTGAAGTTATTGTTTCGATAAATGTAAATAGTTTCGTGATAAATGTTTCCAACGAAATTCAGAATTTTTCCCAAAAGATCTATTTTTTCCCACAATCATTAGTATTGTTAAGTGCTAAACACAGTCATAAAAGGTAATGGAAAGTGGTGCAAACGTATAAATTTAACAGATAGGAGAGTGGGAAAAATATGGTTATTAATTATTTTAAATGAAGTAATACCATCATTTTCACTATGATTTCCTTATATATGAAAATAAGTATCTACTTTGAGGTTGGTAAGTGAAAGTTTTCTGATGCACACACTGCACCAGATTTTTGTTTCCTAGGTTCAACTCATCATGATTACTTACAATCATTAGAATAGTTCTAAATTGAAGCTATCTTACAAAAAATGACTTTTTAAACAAGGCAGATGTCTCTCTTTCATATGAAGCCACTCATGTATTATAATTTTTGATAAGTAATGCGTGTCCCTATCATTTAATAAATTTAACCTAGCAATAATTTAAAACTAAAATTGTACAAAACTTTAGATATTATTGTGTGATTTGAAATATTAATCATTTCATTTCTTTATATAATGATGGAGAGCATCTTAATCATTAAATAATATATGGTAATATTATTGGTTGCAGGCAAGGATACCACATGTTCGGTGTTACATTATCATTTATTGCAACAAGAAGTGGACTTCTCCGTTGGAAAGATCATACAAATAATCCTCAAAATGCAGCGTCAGTATTTATATTTTACTCATATTCAGCAATAAGTTTTTATTAATTTAATGTTGTTTTTTTTTTGCTCTTAAATTTACTTTAGCTTACAGCATTCAAATATGGACAGTACAGTAAGGTAAAATTTGACTTAGATTAGTAACTCACATCATTGAAAATATACATCAAAAATATTTACTAATAAGCTCCCTGTAATTCTGATATACTGAGTTGACAGAGGTAAATAAAAACAATAGTTTTTTTTCGATTATATCAACATTAAAAACAGAAATGATGTTAAAAAGTGTAACACACTTTAGGAACAGAAGCTATTATGTTTTTATAACACAATCTCTTTGAAAAAATAAAATGAGAGGACATTAGTTCCATTGAAAAAAATCATGCATTTAACAAGTTTATTTTTTCATTCTATACATGTGTCAACCAATAGGTAATTATTCCTGCAATATGATCGAAGGTGAATTTCTAAAATTCTTTACTCAAGCATTCAATCAAATACAAGCCAATGCTCTCATTTAAACCTTTTGAAAAAAAAAAAATATTGAAGAGAGGTTTTCTTACATTGATAAATCTAAATTACTTATAAACTGATAATACCAGAGTTTAAGAAGAAATATTATTATAGTTGAACTTATTTTCTGTTCATGAAATTGGTTATTTCATAGTCAATCTAGCAAAACATGTTGCATGAATGCCAGATCAAATAAAGAGAAGAGGAAGTTTATATTCACTAACTTAGAAAGAAATGTGAAAATTTTCATTCTAAGCCATCCTTAATTAGTTAATAAAGCATTTCAAATTTATGTGGATAGGTAAAGTAGCCTGCTTATAAATAAAGTCTTGGGTAAGCAGATGCGAAAAGCTTTAAAGATTGGTGGTATTTGAGAAAACTTCATGATACAATTTGGTCCAAATTTTTGATCTGGAGAAGGATCTTGAAGAAAGTTTAAATCATAATGGGCGGTAGTAGTGCTATTACAAATACTGTTGGTAAAATGAAACCACTACATTTGTAGTATGTTATGCCAGTAGTTAGTCATGGTTGGTAACCTCAAGATAGCTCTTTCAAGTTGACAAAGAAGACCAAAAGAACATGCTGGGTGAGTTTCATCACAATTCCAGATCCAGAACCAGTATGTTAGTTATACTAATGAACATTAAGTAGCTCTTGAAAGAATTATTTTTTATTAACAGTATAATACTTGTAATAATAGGAATTTCAATCAACTTAGAAAGAAAATTGTTATAAATGGAGATGGATTTTTGGAAATGAAGTTGAAGACTATCAAAACAACTCGTTCCAAACAACGTCATTAAGGAAAAAGTGAAAGAGCCCCTCAACACCCTGTACATCATTGAGAAAAAAAAAACGGAATTGGTTTGGACATGAGAATTATGAGAATGGTGGAGGAACGATGGCCTAAAAAGATAATTATGTACAATTAGAAAGGAGGAAGAGAGGTCGACCTAAAAATAGATGGATGGAAGGTTTACATGAGGCAATAGGAATACTCTTATGATAGAACGAAATGGTGACAGGAATTATTAGGTCACGACATATGACCTTGTGTTGTAAATAAAGTCGTTTATATATATATATATATATATATATATATATATATATATATATATATATATATATAATAACAATAATATTAATTTTAATTATAATTTTTGGTTTTATTCTATTGAGTTTTATTGGTTGAACTAGAGGCTATCTTTCCTCATTTATGAGCATGTATGCCTAGTAATACTATATATTAATTATATTGTTGGTTAGTTTTAATTTGTTAGAATTCCTTTCATTTCAAGAATTTAAATTAGTTTGTTTATTATTGGATTTAACATTTCATAGTCAAAATAAATACATAAAAAATATTGAATATATTCCAAAGGATGTCTTTTTTTTTAATTTTCAGTTTTAGTTTCTATAAATTGTTTAATGATGCATTACTTATTACCAGACCCATTACCAATACTTTTATCATAAAAGAAGAATTAGGATTATAGAAATTCGAATTATAAAAAACTGGTGACAAATTTTTCAAAAAGGAATGAATTTTTTTTAAATTTGCTAATTGTTATAAGTTTTTCATCATATAAAAACGAAAAAAAAAAACACTTATTCCAATAAACGAAAAGGAACAATTTTCTAACTATATGAAAAACAAAATAAATTATTTGTAAATGTAAATTAATTAATATCTTTTCTAATAATAGGTCTTTTGCTGATTCAAATCGGCGTGCAATGGATGAAGTTTGGTATAAAAGGGCAGTTGACCAACACACTATTGAGCCTGAAAGCTTTGTATTTTCGGTTCCGTTTAATGCTGGTATGTCAATTCCTTGATATTTTAAATTATAACTATTTTTTCTATGGTAATTTTCTAATATATGATTAGTAATATGTATCAACATTGGGAAATTAATGTTTTATAGATCTTAGTTATTTATTTTTTAATTTTTGATTTAGTAATTTGTTGATAGTTCATTGGTTGTTTATTATTATTATTTCTGCCTTATCTAACGTGGAGGGACCTTGATCCAAGCCGGCCAAGCCTCACAGTCCCTGCAGAGTTGCATCATTTGTTGGAGACTTGTTCCTCCAATCCTTTGAATATTCTTCATATAAAATTCTAATCCTTCCACGTGGCCTCTTGCCAGTAGGTCCAGCTTCCATAATCTTCTGGGTTTCCAGTCCTTGCTTAATTTACAAATATGACAGAACCACTGTGGCTATCTTTTTTCAAGGGTGGATTTTAGTACAGTAATATTCAGCTCCTCCCTCATTCTTTCATTTCTTATGTTATGTCTTATGGTTTCTCCTACGACCCTACAGAAGTACTTCATTTAAGCTTCTTTAATTCTACTTATCTGCTTGTCTAGCATGGCTCAGCTTTCACTCTCTCATCATTACAGTCTACCTCCACTGTGCCCTCCACGTCTCGGGAAAGAAACAGCAACTTACTCTTAGCAGCATTGATGATCATCATTTTTTACTTAAATTCCTCCTGCCATTTCAGTAAAGCTTACTGCAGTTTCTGTTTCGTATCACATATTAGGACATTATCATCTGCATACAAGAAAGACAGACTGAGAATTGTCCTCATGTTTCATTTACCAATGATTGTTCAGGTTGTTTGCCTTTAACAAATTTTATAGATTTCATCCATTTACAGTAAATAAGAGTGGACTCTTACTCCTATTGACTATCTCCCTGCTTGACACCTCTATCAATCAGAAAAGGAGCAGATCCTGTTCTTTTGATTTTGCATATACAGATTTTATGGCGGTAACGAGATCTCTTAGAACGTTTTTAGCAGCCAAAGCATTCCATATTCCTTGCTACAGGACCGGATCAAAGGCAGTCTTAAGATCCAGGAATTACCCCAATCTCTGTCCCATGCATTTTCTAATATAGTTCGTAGGACAAAGATATGGTCCTGGGTCTGTTTCCTCCCGGGGCGGAAACCTATCTGTTTCTCTTCCAGCTGATCCTATACAATTCAACGTGTAACATTTTTTCCAGAATGTATGTTTGTGTTTTGTAGCCCAAGTCCAAAGGGTATAATTGGCCTGTAATTAACACAATCTGTTTGATTGCCTTCTTTGTGGATTGGAATAATCCCACTGTGTCTTTCAGAATATGTGTTTGTACCCCATACAGTTTGAAATAGCCCATACAGTGCTTAGATGAGCTCATGTTCACCATATTTTAAGAACTCGGGGGCAATGTTGTCCCTGCTTGCCACCTTATATGTCTTTATCTGATTTTGCCTTATTTCTTGCATTTTTATGCTGAGAAAAATTATCAGGTGCCTTATTCTGTTGGTAGGACTTCCACGCCTGTTTCTTATTCTTATAATTAAATTTATATTGTCATCCCACCATCTACTGCTTATGCCTCTTTTGGTAATTTTTATGTAGGCCATAGGCCTCCTTTGCAGTTTGCAAAATCAAATCTTTGAGAGTGTTTCATTGTCTCTCTGCATCTCCATCTAAATCCAATACTCTACGACTTTCTTCGAACTTGGCAGAGTATAGTTTTCTCATGTCAAGAAATACAACAAACTATGTGGCTAGCCTTGAAACTGGGAGATCTCCGTTAAGCATTGTTGTTAAAAAAAGTGATCAACTATAGGACAAGGCTGAGCTTAATGGGTGATGAAAGACTACCTAGACAATACTTTAATAGGCTTAGAGCTCTAGACTCATCCAGTGGAAAACCTGATCCAATTTATAACTGGGTTACCCTAGTAAAGATGATTGTGGCGGAACTGGGATGCCAAGAGCTTTTATCATGTGTTTTCTCCCAAGGTCTGATGAGGTTCAAAGATGAAATCATTGAAAAAATGATAAACCATCACGCATTCAGGGTATTCACAGAGTGTTAAATAGAAACAGATACAGAAAAATCTGCTCCTTTAATACCACTGGATGAGAGGACTATCTGCAGTTCAAAACTCGAAATTTGGACAAATTAAGAGCTGTTAGTCGTCTCAGAGTAGTAAGTGAAGATTTTGTAAAGAAATATTTCAAAGATGCTACTTTAAATATTAAATCTAGTGAAGTATGTGGTGCATGCAACTGCTTTATAACTGACCCAGTGACTCATTTTTGATTCAATGCGTCAAATTTAACAAACCAACAAATAAGTACTTGAAAACATTTATTACTGAATCCAGGGAAGACATTACTGTAGAGGATAGACTGAAAATAAATACTATGAAAAAATCAAATCAATTATGTTATTTCATACAAGGCTGTTCATTTAACTGTTAAGTGGTAGAGTTAATTATATAAACAGATATTAATGCATATTTAACACAGATATTTGTTGACACAGAAATCAATCAATCACAAGCCATTTTCATTCTTACCAATTTCATCTCCATGAGGCCCTATAGCACCATATGAGATTCTATAGTCCCATCTAGCTCTTTTACTGAGGTCTTCTCATAGAATTAAATACACCTTCCTTTGGTGCTGGTTCGGTCAACCTCATTGTAGGTCTGAGTAGAACAATTCCTTGTCCAAAATGCTAGCATCTTCTGTAAGAGCATATACTTGGATTATAGTTATCTTACCTATTGTCACATGGAGATTTAAAAGTATAATCATGGAGGGGACTGGCTCCCGTTCTTCATCTCTGTCATGTGCCAAGAGATATTGCTATCTCTACTCCCTCTTTAGCATGAGTTCCTTTTGGCAAACCCACATATATCAGGGTATACCCATCATCCAACTCCATCCCTCCATTTCCTTTCCTCACTTCAGCCATTCCCAATTTATTCATCTTATACTTTTTTATTTCCTCGACCAGCTCGACTTCTTTTTCTGTTAATGATTTTATATTCCAAGTTCCAAGTCTTAAATCATTTTCTGTGCCACATACTTAATCAATTGTTTATTCAATTTATAAACAAATAATTTTTAATTAAAATTCATATTATCTCCAAATTATTTGATTTTATTTATTACAATTTAATATTTATATTCATGATTATTTCATTATTAATGCTAATTTAGATAAATGTATACATTTAATTAATAATATTTAAAATAAAACTATCAAATAAATAATAAAAACTACAGTATTTCAATTTATTTTTCAATATTTTAGGTTCAAATGGAAAAGTACTTGTGACAGCAACACATGCTTTATTTTTGGAATATAAAGGACATAAGGCCCCTGCAGCTGTTGTCGGGTTACAGTTTCAGCACTCAACATTAGCAGCCCATTTCATTAATGTTACTTCTGCAGTAAGTATTTGTATTGGACAGCAAAAATTATATAAATAAAATGCTAACTCACTCAATGCTTATGAAATTACTCTTTTATATTAAATTCATAAAAAAAAAAAAAAATTAACTTTATAATATGTAATATAAAAAATAAACATGTAGAATGGAACAATTCATTCAGAAATTTCCATATCATTAATTATTTTTTAATGTATTGATTTTAATTTTAATTTTTTAAATATTAATTGAAATATTCTAAACCTAAAAAATTAATACTTTAGGGATGGGCAAGTAGTCTACTGATGAATCATAAACATGAAACAAAATTGTCAGGAATTTCAGTCAAAACTTCTTTAATGGTATAGGTGTCAAACCAATAATAGATTAACCCATTAAAGAAATTTTGACTGAAATTCCTTATAATTTTGTTTCATCCTTAAAAAATTAAATATTAATTGATGGAGAGAATTTAAATTATCGGTATTAAAAAAATATTTAAAAATTCAGTGAATTTATAAGGTAGAGCAGAAAATGACAAATAAAATTAAAAAACAGCATATTTCAGTTACATTTGTTACCTATGTTGTTATCATATCATTTGTTTTTATTATTATTTAAATAAATATTAGACCAATAATTCCCAAAAATTCTTTTTATTTATATCACATTATTTTTTTTATTCCTCAATGTTTCGACCATCTAGAGGCATTTTTTAAATCTATCTATTATGCATTCTATTCTTGTCTATCTCGTTTTAAAAATTGTCCTTCGCTAAAATAATGGTCAGTTTTCTTTTCTTAGGTTGTTCTGTCATTCATATCTGATTTTCATTGCTACCTACAGGCGACTCAGAGGTGAGTAGAATTGAAAATCAAATGTGAATGTCAGACCTACCCTAGATTAGAAAATTGACAATGATTTTAGCAGAGGACGATTTTTATCGAAAATGAGATAAATAAAATGAAGATGTTTGATCAATTTGAAAATGGATTTCTATAGCCAAAAAGTTGGGAAAAGTAATGTAATGTTAATCAAAAGCATCATTGGTGACTATTGGCCTTAAAATTATTAAAATAAAAAAAAATATCATAGTTTATTTTCAGTACTTTATTTATAAACATCACAAATTAAATAATACTAATATTTTAATAATTAACATTAAATACACAGATATAAATATACTGGTAATGATATAAATGGCAATGTTTTTAATTTTTTAAGCTTTAGGTTGATAAGAGTCAATTAAGGGATTGTGTGAATTAAAATAATAAATTAATAAAACATAATGATCTACTAAAATAGGTGTATGAAAATGGTTTAAGCTATAATACTTATATGTATTATAACTAAAATGAATAACAGTAAAAGATTTAAATTTTCACTGTTTTAAAATAATTTATTGAGCATAAAACTACATGAATTTTTTTAAAGTATTTTGAAAAACACATAAATAAATTTATCCTCATGTGAATGTAACCTGACTAGATAAATGTGCTGTCATATATGAACATTGGTATTAAATCATATGTAACTGAAGAAATACACAAAAGAGAGAGAAGGAGGATTATCTTACTTATGAAAATTTATTAATTTGCTTAAACTAAAATACTTTTGGAGAGTAAAGTTATTATATTTCGATAAAATTTATTTGATTTTGTTGGGTTTTATTCAATACGGTTACAGAGTATTTCTTTCATTACAGCATACAATAGCTTATTCTAAACTTCTTGTATTCTCAACAATCACAATCAAGTAGCTGTTTGTATATATGTATAAATAGACAAGCAAAACTATCTCATTTTTTGAAAAAAAAAAATGCTGTTAATTTTTATGTTTTTTATTTTTGTTTTTTCAATAGTGCACTGGAAATCCAGATTGTAAGAAAACTTGTGCAGGAAAAGAATTAGACTGTTATGTCCTGGATAACAATGGATTTATTATTCTATCAGAAAAACCTGAACATACAGGGCAGTTTTTTGGTCAAGCTGATGGAACAATAATGGATTCTTTAGTTCAGGATGGAATATACAAGAAAATTCAAATTACAGACCATCAAGGAGCTTGTACAGACTCCAAATCTCATTACAGTGATGCTTCGCAGAGATCAGTAAGATTTCATAAATTAAAATATTAGTTATAGGTAACAAAAAGTAATGAATAAAAGATTAAAAATGAATCTTTATGTTAGGTAAAATATATTAACTTTTTTGAAGAAAACAATTTTTCTACCCATTGAGTCAGATAAAAACATGAAGTCTAAGATTGCCATTTATCCTAGATTTAAATAAGAGATAAAAGCTGAAACTGGGTAGTGAGAGGTTGCCAATGGATAAAGAAAACAAACCATGTTGTATAAATTTCTGGAAACAGGCATGCTATAGTTTTTCTTCCTTATTTTTCCTCTGCTTTGATTCATCTCAATTTTACTTAAGGTACTTGTGATTTAGCTTGTCATCATGGAACCTCCCTTCTTATCTCGTGTAACTTCTTCTTATCTTTCCGTTAGTTGTGGGTTATTCAATTGTTTTCAATTTTTTTGTAGTTGTTGACTTTGTTTTAAATGGATATAACAACGCTTTGGGAATTGCTGTATTCAGAAGAAGAAGCTGTTAAATACTTTCAGAAGTTCGGGATAACTCCAAAAGTGAAATTATATGAAGGTCATGAAATGGGAAAACAGAAGAGTGTTTCATGATAAAAATAAAAGACAGAATAGCGACAACTTTGTTGGGATGTATTAAAAATAATATAGAAGAGAGACCCACTATATATTCTGACTGTAGGAAAGGATACAACAACCAACAACTAAACAAAGCAAACTATAACCATTGCCAGGTGAATCACAGGTATAACTTTGTTGATCCTTCAAGTGGTGCCCATACTCAACATATAGAACAATTATGTGGCTCAGGTAATTGGAGAAATAAAAAACATCGAGGAACTGCAAGGCAACACCTGGATTCCTATTTATGTGAGTTTTTGTGGTGGAGGAACCACAGAGAAGAGGGCCCTTCCTCGCTACTTTAAATAGCATTAAGCTATTTTGTCTCCTTAAATAAATAAAATAAAAGTGTTTTACATATGTTGTATTTATAAAGTATGTGCGTATATATGTTGTATATATTAAGTGTTATATATTTTGTATTTTGTCTCCCTAAATAAATAAAATGTAAAATAAAAATGGTTATATGTATATATATATATATATATATAATAATAATGTTATATACATACATACATATATATATATATATATATATATATATATATATATATATATATATATTTATTTATATTTGTAAAAAGAAATTGTGTTGTTATTATTACATTTCTTTTTGTCTATTTCAATTGCCATAAATATGAATATGAAGATAGGTATTATCAGTATCAGAATTATCAGTGTTCTGGTTATAAACAATGGTGGATCACCGTGACGACTGGTTAAGTCACAAGTACCGTACTTGATGGCAGATGGAAGCAAAACATAAACTGCCCTCCTAAATTTATCTTCAGTACCTCATGAATGTCTCATGTGTTCCACATTTATAGTGGGTTAAGGTGGTTCTTCCCCTCCTTCCATTGACAATATTTCCTTGGATCCGTTATACCAAACTATCAGCTCCCTGCATCATGTCTACATGTAAAATTTCCTACACTCCAAATCCTTTGTAAAATTGCAGAAAACAAGATTTCGTACTCTGTACTCCTTCCTACAGAATTAATACCTTTGAACATTCCTTTCTTCTTTAATTACCTACTTGGGCTAAATTGGTAAAATATGGATGGTTTAATTTGTGGCAAAATAAGGAGCCTTGAGGATTTTGCAAAGAATTAAGGATAATAAGTATTGGATACAAGAGAAATATGATAATTCAGTGCAGCCCTAAAGCTCAACTCTATAAGTCCAAATAGGTCTTACTATATTCAAGTAAATGAGTCTTTTATAGTTAATTGAAAGCTTTGAGCGTTTTTTTAGTAGGTGTTTAAGTAGCTGGAAACGTTTAGCAGTCTCAGTCTTTTATGAGGGTTCCAATCATGACGTTTTGCCAGACACAGTCCTGGATAACGGATAACGGGTCCGTTTAACAGGGATAAGTCTTGTATTATTAAAGGATACTATAGGACAGAAACTCATAGGTTTATGATGATGGATACAGGATTTTATTTTAATTCTCCAATTCTGATACCATTTTTCAAGGTTTTCGATATGTGACTGAAGAAATTGGGAAATAATAAATGGGTCATTATCAATTGATAGCACTTTGTGTCATCAGCATAAATAGTAATGATAGTGTTAGAAAAAGTTGGAATGTCAGCTGTATAAACTGTGTAGAGGAAGAACCAAGGATACTACCTTGAGGAATACCTGTAGACTGAAAGAGAAGGGATAAATAGGCACCATTGTGGTTTACCTTAAATGTTTTATATTATAAAATGAATATTACAATGCCATTAATTGCAAGCCTGCAGCCCGCTTTTTCGTTCATGGTACCAAACTGGTACATGAAAATGAGTGGGGAAGAAAACACTCAATTGGTTGTTTTGCATGAAATATATATATCGGTGGTATTAACTGAAAAATCCAAACATGTGAAAACAACTTTTGGTGAAATCATAAACAAATACAATGTTGTGTGAACGAGGCCAAATCTGAGCATTGAGATTAGCATGGCTTCTGATTTTGATTTTTTTATATACCGGCAAATTAATTTTTTTTATACATAGCAGTAACTAATCAGATAAGTTTTATTTTATAAAAAAGTAAACAAGAAGTAACAATGGGATGATACAGTGACAATAGGTGTAACATAACTTTAATTTATAGTTGGAAGAAAGGGGAGTTAGCTGAAGGGGCTGAGATTTTTTGTCCTAGAGCACTAAAACCCCTTAGGACTAACCCTGAGTAAGTGGTGTAATGGAAACGTGTCATTACCCATCAAGCTGGCTTCTTGTTCAGACAGACCCAGCTTGAGGATTGCAATTTAATATAAATGCTGTATTATTACCAATGATAAAGGGTATGCCATTTTTTTAATGTAAAAGTAAAAGATGGAACAATTTAAAATTAAATCTATTCTATTAAATCGAGTGGATTTTCGGCACTTCAAAAATGTTACTTTATTTAAAAATTAAAAATTAACTTCCACATGCAGGTTCATGAAGGTACATCCATGATATTAAAACAAACAATGTGTCTTTTGTAGATATGTTGGTGAACTTTGGAACATGAGCATGCTTGTTTGAATTTTCAAGCAGAAATCTCTGCCATTTTTTTTTTTGAGAAAGTAAATTGAGTTTAAGGGGACTGTGAGATTGTTTATATTTGTAAGTAGTTTTTAATTGATTTTAACAGATCTAAGTGTGCTGTGTTCCACTCATCTGGTTTAATGAATCAAACTTGTGCCTCCGTGGGTACCTGTCAGAGGTTAAACCAAAAAATCTTATTGGCAATCTCAAAGATTGGCTAAAATACACTAAAAACCAAGTCATTCACAGTACCAGTTTCAGCATAATTATTAAATTTGATAAATTAGTTTCATGGTTAATTATTTAATCAACTACCTTGTAAACATGATATAAATGACATGAATATTTATATATCTTCAATTTTTTCCAGATGCCTTGGATGTCTTTTAAATGGTTAGTAAAATGGATGATTGCTAAACTGTTCTGGCTGTCATCACAGATATATATTTTTCCAGCAATGCAAAATCATTATACTTTTGCTCAGGAAGATTTAGAGGGTAAATATTAATTTCTAATCATTAGTAAATGAATGATCACTTTTAAGATTAATCTTTTCCAGTAAAATTCAATTTTATATATATATATATATATATATATATATATATATATATAGGGGTCTGGGGTAGCCATGCGGGCTAAGGCGCTTGAAATAGGTAATCAGTTAAGCAACGCCGAGCGTGGTAAGCTCTTGGATGGCTGACCGCCCACACCAAGGAAAACCATGCTGCCCGAGATTCCTCCTCTCCCGGGTATTTGAGGCCCGTCAACCTACTGGAGGCAACTCACACTCCGACCGGGCGTATTATTGATGACCCTACCCTGTATTTTAAATCGGGAATCGGGATGTGGCCTTGGAGACCACGTTCTGCGGTCAAAGACCTTCATGGTCTGTAGCGCCAACCGAAGAAATAGAAAAAATATATATATATGTTTTATATTTTTTTTTTGTGAGGGATTCCAAAGTATGGCCCAAAAAATATTATTTTCAGTGAATAAATCAAACAAAAATTTGCTACAACATTTATTATATGAATTATTTCTCTTAGAAATCTTATAACACAACTGAAATGTCAAATTATAGACCAATCTTTTACTTTCATCACAAGTTGTGACCCATGGAACTTTGTAGAGGCCTCAATGCGGTCCACAGGGCAAAAAGTTTAGAGACTTTGTATATATATATATATACATGGAATATATATATATATATATATATACATGGAATACCAGTCAAACTGTTAAAATTATGCCTTATATTAAAAGGTATGTCCGCAAACGCTTTGTTTAGAAGATTTTCGTTGTTATGAATTATTTATGTTATATGAAATAAATAAAACCTATTATTTGTTCTAACTACTTTATTAATTAAATGTAAACATTAACATTCATATTAAATCTTATTCAAAGTGATTTCCTTGATTCAACAGCAGCAGTGGTAGAACTGCTCTGTATATATATATATATATATATATATACGGTTTAAATATTACTCAGTTACCCGTTCCTTTCCTATCCTCTCATGATCTCATGATTATCATCATACAATATCCAAACTCCTGCTTTTCTTCCTAAAACAATAACTTCCCCGCAACCTTGACATCCTCACTCGTGACAAAAAACTACCTGACCTTGAAATCCTAAATTGGAGTGAAATCTACTACTCCTGCACCTCTAATGTATCGATCATATGGCATCTTCACTTCTAATCATCACATCCATTCGTATCCTTGAAACATATGAACCTCTACCTTCCATCGCTAACCTGCTCCTTGGAGGTATCAAGAAATTCGTGACATGCATAAGACACGTGAGGCATTCCGTATACGCTTCAGACAAATAAGACTAGCAAATGACTATCAAGCGTTTAGGGTACTCCGTAACTTGGCATTCGGCGTTCTCGGGCAATCCCTCCCCCTAAGAAATTAAATTTATTTCTTAAGCCTTTTTTTTTATTATATAATAATTGAATTTTATTTCATTCAACATTTATGCAATATCGTTGCTTTATTGATAGGCTGAAATAAATTATTTTAATTTCTAAAAAGAGACAATCGCCCCTGAAGATCGTTCGGCGCCCCCAAAGAGCTCCCCTCGAGGTCGGGGAAATAGCCCCAGCTGCTCTACCCTAAGGCCGGGACTGATCAGGAGAGCAAAATCAAACTACTTTCATAGAACCCTCTTCCTGCTCCTGATTCTAAATCAATATGGCTGGCCTTTCTTATACTCTTTCTCTGAAAATCCACTTCCTCAACAGTCTATTCGGTTTCACCTGATGAATTAAATTTCTACTTTATATCTTCCTCCACCAGCAATATCTCACTCTCCTCTAACCAGTTTTCCTTATCATCCTCATTCAACAGTGATAATTTTTATTTCCCCTATATTTCACCAACGGAACTTATTTTCTGTATAATGAAACCCCATACCAACTCCACCGGATTTGATGGAATACCCGTTAAAGTGTTAAAATTATGCGTTCACAAAATCCTTTCTGTCCTTTTTTTCATCTATAATTTTTCCCTCCAGAACTCAGTTTTTCCGGCTGCTTGGAAAAAAGCATTAGTCAGACCTATAAACAAAATCCCCAATCCTACTTCTCCTAAAGATTACCGCCCAATCTCCATTCTTTCTAACCTTTCTAAACCTCTGGAAAGAATAGCTCAATCCCAAATCTCTAAATTCCTTGAAAACTCAAAAGTACTTGATCCTCTCCAATCTGGTTTTCGACCTGGCTTCTCCACACAATCCGCCCTACTAAAAATTACCAATGACTTACATACCGCAATGGACGACAAAATGTTAGCTGTGTTAATACTTCTCGACTTTTCCAAAGCTTTTGACTCCTTAGACCACTCTATACTAAATTAAAATCTCTATCTTTCTCCAACAGCTCTATCCTCTGGTTGCAGTCTTTCCTATCCGACAGAACTCAAGCAGTTAGCATTCCAAACCAACCTCTATCTTCCTTCCTTACACTGTCCTCAGAAGTGGCCCAAGGTTCGAGCATTTCCCCTCTCCTTTTTAATTCCTACATCTTTCCAATCCATCCAATTCCTTGGATCTTTCCAAATCCATCTACCACTGTTCACATCATTTATACGCTGATGACTCCCAAATCTATTTTTCCTTTCATCCTTCTGAGCTACTAGTCACGTTCTCCAATATTCAGGCAGACCTAGATAAGATCAGTGCCTGGGCAAGTCTGAATAATTTAAATCTAAACGCGACGAAAACTCAGGCCATTATTATAGGTTCCAATTCTATTCTTAAATCCATTTCCTTCCTTTCTCCTTTAGTCATCAAGGATCATCCTATCACATTCAGCTCATGCATTAAAAACCTAGGAATCACCATAGACGAAAACCTCTCCTGGAAACCCCATATCGCCCTCATCTCCCGTAAGTCAATAGGTACCCTTAAGCTATTTCATCGCTCCCGCTACCTACTCCCACAACCCATCCGCAAGCTCCTTGTATCCTCTCTCATTTTCCCCCACTTTGACTACGGCTGTGTGGTGTACGGAGGAATCCCGATGGTACTCGAGGATAGATTGAAGCAACTCATGAATACCTGCTTAAGATTTGTCTTCGGTACATCGAGGCGGTCTCATGTGTCCCACCTTTACTAAGAGTTAAAGTGGCTCTTCCCTTCTTTCCACAGACAATATTTCCTTGGATCTTCCTATTCCAAACGATCAACACCCGACACCCTTCCTACATCTACAGTCTCCTACAGTTTAAACCCGTGGTCCACTCCCAGAAAACAAGATCCCGTGTTTCCGACCTTTATATACCTTCCCATAGAACTAAGACGTTTGAATATTCCTTTATTGCCCGATCCACTGCCTTCTGGAATTCCTTATCTTCTGAAATCCGCCATGCCTCTTCCTTGTCCTCATTTAAATATCATCTTTACCAATTCCTTCTCACATCCCAAAATGACGTTATACAATAAAATAAATATTGCGAAACAGATTTTGACTGAGGTGAATGGTTGTAAAAATTGAGAGTTTTTAATTTAAAAAATCAACCCATGTTTATTTTATTTTGTTCTCTTTTCATTTAAATAATGGTTTTTTTTTAAATTTTGTTTTCTTATCAAAATGGTGTTATTTTTACTTGTTTTAATTTAATTTTACTGAAGATACTATATATTCTTTAACATTGACTAATGTAATTTTTGGCCAGATGTAGTTTTTATTTTTTGTTCATATCTGTTATTCATAAGGGACCTTGTCCCAGAATAAAGTTTTCTTTCTATCTATCTATCTATCTATCTATCTATCTATCTATCTATCTATCTATATATATATATATATATATATATGAATATATATATATATATATGAATATATATATATATGAATATATATATAAGTTAAGCGTCTCCGGGCTTTAAAAATAAAAAAAAAGAAGGAAAGAGGAACGAGAAACAATACTCACGGCTTCTGAATAAACACTGCTTTATTCGTCCAATAATCTGCCTTATATACAATTGCTATGTTTATTTACATTACAAGATGGTATTAAGGCTGATATCGCCAGTCTCCGGTCTTTATCTCCCCCCCACCAGTTTACGAATAGGATTTTCGGAAACTTATAAATTCCCAGATCGGAGCCACCGGTATCAGCCTTAACCCTTTACAATTATTTGTACCAGTATAAACTTAAAGTACACCAAACCTCACTTCCACTCCGCTGGAACGAGAAATAAATAAAAAGAAATAAACCACAGAAAGTAGACACACAACGTCTTATTAACAATGGAACAGAGCTCTTAATCCTATAAAAATTACAATCACCTCTATTATGCTGCCATATCTTTATTTACAAGAACAACAAAAATAATAAAAAAAAATGACATCATCAACAGTAATAATAATAAAAAAACATATTTTTTTTATAATACGCGATAAGGGTACTACGAATCAATTGGTTTCTGTACCGGTTCTAACATTGGGAGCTTCAATTGTTCAATATGAACAGTTCTCCTCTTCTTAGGTTCGTTAATGCTTTCAATGGTTACCAGATTATGCTCCCTAATAGCAACCACTCTGAATGGGCCCTCGTACCGTAACAATTGTTTCCCTCTGTTGGTTCCAATTCTACGATACACTATTGTTCCGATTTTTAATTCTCCCATTCGGTCACGTACCTGCACATTCTGCCGCGCTACCCGCTTCTCCTTTTCCCGCTGAATTCTCCCCGCTACCTTCCCCCACGTCTTTCCTACCTCTACCCTAGTATTCTGGATTTGCTCTACGAGATGTTCATTGGTCGTTGTTTCCCCCCAATCTCTCCTTGGCCTGCGCATCCCGAATAGTATTTCCACAGGTGAAAATCCCGTTACGGAGTGGATCGAATGGTTGTAAGCTGTTACGGCTTTCTTCATCGCAACATCCGGCTCCAACCCTTTCTCTCCCTGATATACACGGATGTGGTCACTCAACGTGCTGTGCAAGCGTTCGATTCCTCCTCTACTCTTAGGGTGTCCCGGTGTGTTATAATGCCACACAACCTCTAACCTTTTCACCTCCTCCCTAATCGCGGTATTGTCGAATTCTCTACCACCGTCTGATGTGATCCTCTCGGGAACTCCGTAAAACTGTATCCAGATTTGTAGGGCTTCCGCAACTGCATTGGCAGACTTGTCCATGACCTGATGTGCCATAGCTACTTTACTAAAGGTGTCGATGACCGTGACCCACTTGAACCCTTTCCAGGTGAATGTATCGATCTGGAGGTCTTGTAGCGGCATATTCCCTGTAGGTGTCTCTTCCTGAACTCCTCTGGGGGGATGTCGATCATACTTTGTGCGCATACATACCTCGCATTTCCCGATGATTCCTTGGATAGATTTTTTCATTCCCCACCAGAAATACTTTCGCCGTAATGCCTGCAACGTCTCGTTGACGCCTCGGTGGTTGGTCTTCCCCTGGTGGTATGCCAATGTAATTGCTTGTTGCTGCTCCTCATCCTGTACGGTTTCCACTGCATACTTGCACCGGATGATCGTTCTATCCATGCCTATCCGCTCGGATCTCCACATCCGCTTGGATTTGGTTGAGGATGTTCCTCCTCACTCGGCACACGAGAGCTGCCTTCAGTGCTTCTGCGTCTCCCAGGTTCACGAGGTCCTCCGCCACCTTTGCTTCGATTCTTGATATGAGGCGGTCTCCGCCTTTCAGGAAGTGATTAAGTTCACCTACCTCGCCCCCGAATCGCTCCAGGTCTGCGATTGCTCTCCGTAGATCCTGCGTGGTTGCTGCCCTTATCTTCATCCACTCCAATGCATTGGCATGCGCCTCTGCCAATGTGTCCCTAGGTAAGGGAGGGATCTCTTGTATCTGCGGTACTTGAGGTATCTGAGGTATCTGCGGAATCTGCGGAACCTGAGGGGCGATCTGAGGAATCTGCGCTATCGGCATTTCCTGAGGTTGCGGCATTTCAGGTGCGTTCAACACTCCTGGTCGAATTATGCCCTCTGTCGGCATCTCGTCTTTTCCTTATGACTAGGAGAAGAGAAAAAAAAAAATTAAAATAAAGACAGACAAAAAAAAATTTTACTTCCGTGTTCTCCTGACGTTCTCCCGGGTTTCGGCACCAGTTAAGCGTCTCCGGGCTTTAAAAATAAAAAAAAAGAAGGAAAGAGGAACGAGAAACAATACTCACGGCTTCTGAATAAACACTGCTTTATTCGTCCAATAATCTGCCTTATATACAATTGCTATGTTTATTTACATTACAAGATGGTATTAAGGCTGATATCGCCAGTCTCCGGTCTTTATCTTATATATATATATATATATATATATATATATATATATATATATATATATATATATATATTATCGTATAGTTTGAAAGGAAGTCTTTCTTAGATGTGTTGGGAGCTGGAAGCTTGACAACATACGTACCCCTGCCATGAATCACATGGATTTTCTGTTATTCACATCATCCATAGAAATATTTACTGAGAATCACAAAAACTGAGTTCTTTAATACTCCCATATAGTGCAAACATCATCTTCTCAACCTCAAATTTGAGACGATGATGTAAGAGGGTTCAGAAAATCCTGCACTCTACTTCCAGTTCCAGATCAGACAAGACCTATATCCCTCCAAAAACAAATTAACTACTTCGGGACTGAAATCATCGTTTCATGTCAACAACAAGTAACAGCGCATTATTATTTATACACAATATTCTTGTTAATTTAGGAATACTACCAATTAAAGAATTAATGGCCAATATTTTAATTAAATTCATAACAATTAATTATTTAAGTTGATGAAGATAGTTGTAAAGAGTATTAGTTTATTAAATGGCATGATTTATAAAGATTTAGTTTGTGTTGTTCCTATTTAATTGGATAATTAATAAGGGTTCTATTTTGTTGAATAACTTATTGTTCTTTAAATTTAAATATAATAATTTGTTTATTGTAGTGTAGTATTTCAGCTTTCTATAGCAAACAATCCCAATTAACATTTAAATAGTAATTATTTCATAACTAATAAGGCAGATAGTTGCAGCGATATATATATATATATAATGAAATTTTAACAGTATTGGAAGCTAGAAAATCACATTAAAAATAAAAAAATTGCAAATACCTGCATACAGAATTGTTGAATTTGAAAACATAGAATGATTCCATCTATGAATTTTCTCCCCTCCTGTGGTATTTCTTGTGGTTCATATTTATTCCCCTCTCTATTTGCTGTTAATATCAATGGACCTTCCCGTCCTGATCAATTACTTCCAGTATCAATACTGATGACATCCAAATGTACCAGTTCTTCCCTATCTATAACTAGCCAGAAAAAAAAAAATACATGAGGATTTAATTATATACATAATAAATATACATATTTCGGTTTATTGCAAAAAGTGACAAAGGGACATTTCATAACCTCAAATAATTAAGAGCTTTGATGAATTTTCCCTTTGTGAAATTAGAAAATTATGCACTTACATAGTGTAACTATATATGACAAATAAAAGAGTATGAGTCATTTTCATGCACTTACCATCACTTTTGAATTGAAAAGAAAAGTCAAAATTTAAAAAAAACATATTTGTAACTTAACCTATATCAAAAATGCACTTGGTGACTTTTTGCAATAAACCGATAAACATTTTTTGTTACAAATATAATTATATTTATAATATATATAAAACTATACACTCATTCCTTCCACATGGTGTCATATTATTTTTCAAGATTTGAGAATGAACGAACTTGTTGCCCCTTCTGATAGAAACTATTTTCTTTTTCACCTTCTAGTTTCAAATTAAATTGCTACTCAAAAACTTCTTCAAAATTTGTACTGATAGACAGAAAACAATCCTTTTCTTTCAATTACATTGACTATCTATTTTATTTAAATATAATATTTAACAAAACTTTTTTTAAGAACTCAAATAATTAAAAGTTATACATTTATGACAAATCTAGAACTTTATTACAAAAAACATTCCTTGGAACTTCTATACTAAAACTTTTATATGGAAAGGGTTCTTTTAAAACTTTAAAATGGAACTTTTTAAAAAAAGTTTCAACCCCTGATATAATTTCTTGAATGAATAAGCGAATAGCTAAAAGCATGTATATATTACAAACTTTAAGTGCCTTAGTTAAGTATAGCCTGCTGCAATGGCTTCATGTGAAGTTGTCATTGTTTCCTCTTCAAAGAAGATATATTTTCTAACAGTGTTAAGACATCACCCCATGAAGTCAGTGAACACTTTGTCCTTTTTATGTTTGATATCCTTTTATTTACATATTATTTATTAAAATGAAGTTTCTTGAAGGCAGCAACCCAGTAGATTTTCTTTGCTGTAAATAAGGGGAGTCACAATCCTTCTTGTTTTGTTTATTATACAGAAATAATCTTGTAAAATTAGCATGAATATAAAATTATCAAACCAAAAGTATAATAGTAATTTATTTGTTTATGGGGATATCTTCCATATGAATAGAGTTGGCTTCATAAACATAATCAGTATAGTATAATAATTATATATGCACATAATTTATACATAATATATACAGTTGATTTTTATAATGTACATTGGCATTTTATTTTTCTTATTGCCTATCAGGACCTATATCTTATGCAGAATATGATGCTGGAAATTCTGAATATGGTCCTGGTATTGACATGGACACAGTTGCATCCTATCCTGTAGATAAGGCTCAAGGGAACGATGAAGGGCTTGAAGAAGTACCTCCTCTTCAAGCTCCAGAACCCCCAATGTCTCCACCAAAACAAAATCAAAATCGAACACAATATGCTAGACCATGTGTAAAGAAAGTTGATCTCTATGTATTACAACCAGGAAGGCTAAACAACAGTGGGATGAATAATCCTTTAAAGGGGAAGTTGACTAACTGCCATGTAACAGGGTGTGAAAGGTAAAAAAAAAAAATGTTAATTTATATGCATATAAAAGTCTGTTTGTCAAGTTGATATATATATACATAAAATTGATGAATATTTGCCTTAATAAGCATGTATGCCTTAATGTAATATATATTTAAAATCAACTTAATTATTATCTTTAATCATATTTATGATAAATACTTGAGCAGGAAGTACAGTTTTATCTTAATTTAAAAAAAAAAAAAAAAAAGAATAAAACATTTATAGTAAAACTTTGATTATAATCAAAATCAAAATAATTATAATCTAAATAATTATTAACCAAACAATAAAAAACTCAAATTTTTACATACAAGTTGAAAACCCATAATTATGAAACCCAATTCATTTATTAAGTATAAATTAAAACCCACTTCATTAATAAATTTACTCCTTAAAAGATTTGAAGTTAGATTTTCATTCAAAGAGTTCATGATGTTTTTTAGGCCATTCAGTGTGCAAAAAATTCCTCACAGCAATCTTATTTTACTTGTTGTTGACACCCTTTGCCCATGTGGCAGCAAGCAGCTTAGTATTACACCTCAGGAAATGGAACCAGAAGGTGGAGACAACCATTGTAATAGTGAACCTAATTTTCATAGGCGGAGGCCATCAAAATGTATCAATTATCACCCTGAGGTAATATATGAATACATACATATATGTTTAAATATAAGTTTAGAAATCATGCTTGAACCTATAGAGGAATTTTTATTTAATCTAGGTTAAATGTTATTATGGGAAGGTTTACAGTCTAAAGTATGCATGTCTATAAACAAAGTCCTTCATGAATTTTTTTACTATATTAACCATTTGCTAATTTGTTTTGGGCAAAGTATATTTATAGGTAGACACAGGAAATTAGGAAATTGATCACCTCAGGAATGATGTAGTTTAGATATAGGAGATTAATGTTTTAGAGGAAAAGGTTTACTACCACTTATTTTGGGGAGGAACCCTTTATGCTCAACAATACTCGATATAGTATAGATTCTTCTTTTATACCTGACAATATGAGAAAAGATATTGAAAAAGAGTTTTTTTGTGTAATTAATAAATAATGAAAATCATACAAAAGATAAGCCAACACTGACCACAATTCTATTAAAAATCATTAGAATCAGGATCAATGAGCCTGGAGAGCAGCCAGGCTACAGTCCTGAGGTCTGACCTAGGCAACAAATTTTTATTTTTTTATCATTTAGAAATTAAAAAATATTATATATATATATTATCTCAACTTTATTTTACTAAATTTACATTCAAATAAAGTTTAGATAATACATATTATAATATAATTGTGTAATATCTTTGTAGATTCAGAACAATCCATAATATTTTATTTTATTTGTTTTTACTATCAACCGATATCAAGTTTGTACTTACTATCACATCTCATTTAAAAAAAGGTGTTACTTTTATTATTAAATATTGCACTGCTTAAACAAATCTATATCTTGTTTCTAAAGATATTTATTCAAATTAATCAACCAAGAATATACTATAATAATTGGTAATGTCTTTATATAATATTTTGTTGCATATTTTAAAAAGACTTCGGTTCAGTTTTAGTGGTAAATTTAGTATATGATAGGGGCCCAAGAAAGTTATACTCAGGGTCCTTAATTTTTCTTCACGGATTTGATTAGGATGAGCTATCAGGTTTACACCCAAAGCCCAATAAAGGAGTGAACTGAGATAGGTATTTAGATAAAATACCCAATCTTCAAAAAACTTTCAAAGAATATTGGTAGCAATGATAAACACAATCAAAGATAATACCTAGCACCAAAAATATTTATAATTTTACAATTTGTTGCGAAAAAACTACAGATAAATATAATTTGAGCCTCCACATAATAATTTTAATTTTATCTTTCTAAGAAACTCTTTGTATGTTTAGTTGATCTTATAAAGTCAGAAAGGAAAATGTGGTTAGGGCTTTGACCTGTGATGCAACCAAAAAAATTATTACAGTGTGGGATTTAATTATGAGCAAATATTGGGACAGTAAGATTTTATATAAAATTACTGCACCTATTTGTATGAGCATATAGATAATCTGTGGTAGTGTTAAGCTGAAATGTTTGTGTAGTCTTGTTGCATTCATCATACAAGTTCATCTCAGAAGGCTGGGCCATTTCGAAATTATTTACCCAAAATGATACTCAAGAATATGGCCATTCTACATGGGACTAAGACCACACCTGCATTGGGAACAGGATGTCAAAGAGGATCTGGTCTGGCTTGGCATTCAAATATGGAGGAGCTAAGCAAATGGAATGAGTGGAAAACAATAGTTGGAAAGTCCCTGGTACTCATAGGACCTTAGAGCCAAATAATAATATAATTATTTATATTGTTCCAATAAACAGAGATTCATTTCTGGGGACCACTGTTAAGTAAATATTAACTGACACATGTCAGTTTGAACAAAGGGAACCTCGACATAGCTGGCCACCATTGATAAACCCAGTTTTGCCGTAAAGGTAGAAGTGCAAAAACAAGCTAATCAACATTAATCTATGAAATGAAATGAAAAAATAATTTTATTCTGGGACTACTGTCCCCTAAGAATAATAACAGAGTTACAAATTTATGTATCTTAGTCTGACATAATAAAAATACCAACTAATTTACTGTTAATTGTTATTTCAATTGTGCAATAGATTGAAATTAAACATTGTATAGATGCAAGTAATTTTACATGTTAGGGGAAGTTTGAATGTGGAGTAGGTGTTGGAACAGGAGTTGTTTGAAGGAATTTGTGGACGAGGATTGACGCATGGAGGTAGGAAGTGATTTCCATAAGGAAGCAGCACGAATGACGAAGGATTTGCTGAAGGAGGAAGTTTTATGGGAGGGAATATATAAGTCCATAGGTTGAGACCTAGTATTAAGAGAGTGGATAGAGGAGCGCAGAGTAAGGAGTTCCAGGATGTAGGGAGGGTTTTTGGTTCTGAAGACTTGGAAAAGGAAAACACCAAGGAGGAATTGTCGTCGGGAAGTAGAATAAAGCCACATCAACTCGGTGTACCAGAGTGAAACATGTGAACGCCTGGGGATCCCGAAAATGTATCTTATGAAACAATTCATGAGTCTCTTTAGTCTCATTTCCAGCCTGGCAGATAGCCCTCCATACACCAAACAGCCGTAGTCGAATTGGGGGAATACAAGGGAGGTTACAAGGAGCTGTCTGGTTTTTAGAGGAATACAATCACGGAATCTTATCAGTTGTTCAAGGGCAGTTATGGATTTTTTGGTAATCTGGGAGATATGGTTATTCCAGGAGAGGTTCTGGTCAAAGGTTACTCCTAGGTTTTTGACTGTAGGGAATTAATCAACATTAATCTATGTGCGTAATCTTCACCAGCTGTTAAAATTGTCCATCCCTTTTCCTTAAGTATATGTTTGACTGTTTTTTAGAGATATTCTATCTCAATTTGGATAGTTTGAATTAATGTATTTTTTTTTTTGTTTTGAATGAGAAAGCAGGTAGGTATTGCTTATTGCATAGATTCTTGAGGAACCTAAATTTCAAAAACAGCTCATTCGATTTATCTTAAAGTTGGAAGAAATTTGGAAACATCTTCATAAGTTGAATAACTAGTAACAAATAGAAATATTTAGGAAGCTACTTGGCAAATATTGCTAACTTGTCCTACTCTAGTTCAATACCCAATTCAGTACCCTTGCAAGAGAGAAGGAAGCTCTGTTAGCAATTGTTATTCGCTGGTATATCTCCGTTAAGTAATCATTTATTGAGGTTATTGTGGAGTCGACGTATTTGAATCTATTTACTTTCGGGAATGATTTAGAGTCCTCTCAGATCATGCTATCAGGGTGGATATTTCGACTAACTATCATATATTTTGTTTTTTCTTCATTGACTTGTAGCCCGATTTGCTCTGCTTCTCTTAACAGAGTCCGAGCGAGTATCTCAATAAACTTTTGTTTGCTTTCGAGGACAGCTATATCATCCGCATATGCTAGAATTTTATGTTTCGTTCCGACGTGCACCTCTCCATCTTTGCGTGATGGATATGAATGCGTGTTGTTCTTATTGCTTTCTCAAGGGCTAAGTTGAATAGCATTGGTTACATCTCCCTGCCTCAAACCTGTTCGAACTCCAAAGGCTTCAGATACTTCTCCTTGTATTAGTACTCTGCATTTAGAGTCATTTGCACACACCTTCATCAACCTCCCTAACATTCCGGGAACACCCAGCTCATTTATAATCTATCAGATACAGTTTCTGCTCTCGCAGTCATAGGCTGGTTTGAAGTCGACAAATAAGGCGTGCATGTCCTGATCTACTTCCCATCGTTTTTCGAGTACTTGTTTTAGGATGAATATCTGGTCTATCGTACTCCTTCCTCTCCTTGGTGGTCGCCTATTATGTTTTCATAATACGGATATATCCGACTTAGCAGAATATTAGTCCTTATCTTATAGGCAATTGGAAGGAGTGCTATGCCTCTGTAATTACCACATTCGTACGTGGAGCTCTACTTAAGGATAGGACAGATCAGCCCTGTGTTCCAGGCTTCTGGTATCCGTTTATCCTTCCATATTTTCTGGATTAGTTCTAATAGCTTTGCTCTGAGGTGTTCTCCCCACCCTTCAACAATTCTGATCGTAGGTTGTCCACCCCGGGAGCCTTGGCTTTTCTCTTTTCCTAAATCCCTATTACTTCTTTAGCTGCTTGTTTTAGTCGGGTCTCTAGTGCCCCCCAATGTTGGGCAACCGTGAGACCATCCGCGTTCAAGAGTTCGAATTTATTTTTCAGTTCAATCTGGAATTCAGTTTGTACTATAGGGTTATTAAAATTACGGATTTCATACCTCTTTCTTTCAATTTGAACCCCAATTTGGTGGATTCGCTTCAGCCTCTGACAGTTTGATTCTAATCAGAGTATAGTCCGAATACACATATATATATATATATATATATATATATATATATATATATATATATTGTAATATACACCTTTATTGGAAGTTTGTAAAAATGGTTTAATAAATTAATGTTGAATAGTTAAAAGGCTAGCTAATCTAGTTCTGCTAATGTCAGGGATGTTTAAATTTGAAAAATAGTTTCACTAATTTAGAGAAAAGAAAATGGCGGCTCGTAGTTTTACCCTAAAACAATAATCCCAAAGAGGAGAGGGACAAAGAATTTTTGTTTTAGCAAGCAGTTGTTGTTTGGCGGGGTCACTAGTTGTTTGGAATTACAAGAGGGAGGATCTCCCAGAGAGCTTGAGTTGAGTAAAGGGAAGTGTTACCATTTTGGAAGATGTGTTTACAGAACATAGGAAAGTGTTAGAAGACAAATGAATTCTGTACCACAAAGGAAGAAACAGTGTAGAACACTAGCGGATCCAGGATTTAATTTTGAGGGAGGGGCTTCAGCCCGAAACTCAAGCTAGCTCTCTGGGATATATATATATATAAAACGATAATTAATGTATAAAAAAAAAATTAATTAATTACTTCTATGAAATGGTGTTTACGTGCTTCTTGAAGTCCTATTTAATATAATTACATGAACAAGAATACTTTAAGAGATAGTGTTTAATATTTTTTTTCTGAAAAATATGGTTATATTTTACCATTTTGGGGCGAGACTTCAGCCCAGTC